ACAATACCCATAAAAGGCTAGTTAATAAGCAAATATTGCCTGAGGCTCAACACAAATGACATGATGATGAGCACGATGTACACACATCACCTTCCATAATAGAACTTGAGTTGAAAAACTGCTACTGACGTTTGTATACCTATCATCTCAAAAGTGCTTATGTAGCCGTGAGGCATTGAAAGTTAAGAGTCATGATGCGCTATTCGTAGAAACGAGTAAGAAAAAAAGAAATTAGAAAAGAATGTCAATGCTCATAGTGCATTAGAGATTCGCATATGGAATTGAAGACTGAAGTTGAAGACAAACCATGTTTCAATCATATTCCCGATGTTGCTGTCTATAAGAGCAGAAAAAAGGTTTTTGTCATCTAGAGAAGAGGTTTGTCATAACCATTGTTTTCAAGAAACAAGAGAGAGAGGAGGGGGGGAGGAGAGGATTGTGAGTGTACCATGTACTATGAGTGGAGAAATCAAAACTACAAAGTATACAGATATATATATAGAGAGAGTGTGTATAAGTACGAGAGAGAGAGAGAGAGAGACAGAGCAATATAATAATAAAAAAAAGTTTTTTAATAACAAGAATAGAAAGCTTCTTAAAGATAAAAAAGAAAATTGTTATTGTAAGAAGGAACAGGATCTTCAAAAAGCACGTGGGGTTGACCTTCTGCAGCTACTTTACAATAATAATTGAATAAAAAAGAAAAAATAATATTTGAATAATGATGTTTGGAGTGTACATCTGGTTCTTCATGTTCATCTGTGTTAGGTGTGAATCGTTATTGGATCGACTAACCTATTACCGATTGGAGCATAAGCCATCTCATCGACATAATGGCATTTTGGATTATTCACATCAACTACATGATGATTCGTTTACACCTTTAAAATCGGTATAAGACCAATAAAACATATATCTGCTCATATCCTTTTATAGATTCATCAAGTTGCATACTTTCGAGGAAAACCCATCCTCTCACGGCAGAATCACGTCTTCATCGATGAGAATGGCATTCCCGTTCCTCGACCAAAACCTTTTTCAAACAATTTTCCCTCAGAATCTTATCCATTTTATCATTTTTATTAATATTATTCCATATAATTTAAATAAATGAGAACAATTTTCTTTTCTTTTTTTTAAAAATTTGTTGAAATTTACAAGTTTCTTACATCATCTGGTGGATGAGCGCCACGAAAGCGATGATTCCAGCTGAAATGATTTCATATTGATGTTCGTACTATTGAGAGGGAGAGAGGGAAGAACAGAGAGAGAGAGAGAGAGCTTACCTGTGAAGAAAGAATTGCCTGACTTGTATGATGGATCTACATTACACCACTATAAAGAGAATGTGTTATGATGAGAAATAGATTTGTATGAGAGTTACTTCATTCATATCGCGGTCAGGCTTTACCCGTGCAGCTACATCTGAGAAATGTTTCAAATCACAATAATCTTGAGTACATCCATCAATCTTATCACTCAAAATGCTAAAGTCTTGACCTTCATCACTGTGATAGAACATCTTAAAGAAAGATCATGGTAAGAGGATTAGGCTTAAAGAGAGAGAGGGTATGATACCTTGAATGAAAATTCGTTTGTAGTCTTATCTCTGTAAAGCTCAGTCAATACGGCAGCTGAGTAATGAGGATATCCGGTTTTGACAGCACTAAGTTCAATTCCGAAACAAGTGAGGAAAGCATAGATGGTTGTATCATGCTAAAACATGGTGTTAATGAAACATGGTCAAGCTTCTAGACATACAGCTGAATAAACATAGTATTTCAAGTTATTGATCCATTTGCATGCATTTGTTGATTTCCCATAACAGTCCTTCTTCAAGTTCATGTGCATTAGAACGTCATTGACACAGGAACCTGACCAAAAACATTTTGTTTTTCATCCGAATACCATTTTCTCTCTTTCTCTCTCTCTTACCTCCACGCAACTTCTGGAGTTCCAATCCAATATCAAGATTGTTCATGACAACTTTCTTGTCTTCAATATGTTATTTCATTAACTCAACAATCTATTTTGAGCTCACCGAAAATTCCATTTTGGAACTCTTCAACCTTATCATTCACTTGAGAGATGTTAGCAGCCAAATCAGCGGTTACCCAAGTGTTGGGGTTGTTAGGGAAGTGAATACCCTGTAAAGGAATATATACTGCACTTCAATTGATATCAGAATTCAATTTCATTTTTCATTTTCAGTACGCTGGGAGTGGTTGGTTTCTATATAGCCTACTCATTCTTGAGTTTCAGAGAGCTATGAATAGCTGTAAACCTTTAGAGTTCATTTTCATTTTCGTACTTGACACGTAGTGATTGGTCGTGTCCCAAAGTATTATCACAGATAGCGCTTCGTGCAATCATTTTCTCTTTTTCTTTCAAATACCTCAATAAAAATAGCATCGTTGATGATCCATAGGTTATCAATGTCAACTGTTTCATTGCAATTCTTGGTGGTAGTGGCAAGGACTTGTTGAGTCTAGAAATCAGACAATCACAAGATTAACCAAAGGAAAAGCTATTACAGTAGTTTGATTAACGAAGGCTCTAACTTCATCAGAGGTTTTAGCCATGTCCCATAGTTTCGTTTGTCTCATACATGTAGCATCAGCATTGAGAATCTGAAAAAGGGTGGGGAGGGGATATATGTGATATCGTGTGTATGACACATGCTTACATAGTCACTATCATCATCAACTGTGTGAACTGCAATTGGAACGTAATTGGCTGGCCAGCCTTGAACATCAGGATAATCTATTCCAACTCTGTAAAATAGAATTTATAGTTTCCAAGAATAAGTAATAAAACGTGGTTTGAACAAAAGAAAGTGATAACAGGCGTTTACTATCCGAATGTGTTGATTCATTGTTCCTACCTGTTCTGTTGGTTACTATACATTCCGATTAAGTTGGACATGGCAGAGATGACGGTTCTATTGACATCAGTAGATCTCACGTATATCTTGAACATATCTTATGCATGGAGAGATGAACATGGATATACCTCTTTGGAGTTATAGAAAGGACTCAGATAACCACTTGATACATAACGATTCTTTAAACGTGTTCCAAGATTGAAATGCTGTCGCATACCAGTCTTAACAAGGTAACCAATAATGCTTTTGAAAAGATATAAGATACTTACAGGAGATAGCTGTCCCCATCCACCGCCACCAAATTTCCAATCGCCTTCTTGATGAATATCACTAGGGAATGTTTTCGTAGGAGAACGATCACCATGTCTCCATATCTAGAAGTATAGAATGAATTGAATGAGAAGAAGCTACATGATGCAACTTACTATTTGAGATAGAACAAGCTCTTTATCACCAGCATACATATAAGGAAGCACAAGCATAAATATGAAAATTCCCAAAGCCATTGTTTAATACTAAAAATAAAAATGGAATTATAGCATAAACGATGTGAAAGCAAATAAAATAATAGTGAGACGATGAAGAAGCTGATTGAATGAATCACTTACTGTCTGATAATAATTAGCTTTTGAAGACTCTTTATCTTCTTCTCAGTTCATCGACCACTCAACCTTCTCCAAGCCTTTCTTTCAACCTCTCTTATCATTTCGTAATCAAAGGAATTTAAAGATTATATTGACAAACCACCAAAAATTATTTTAATAGACTCCTCTATACTTTGACTTTAAAAAGATAATAGTACTTCCTCTTTCCTCTAACTATACCTATAGTAAGGTTCAGAGAGAGAGAGAGTTCAGAGAGTTCAGAAAGTGAGAGAGCAATACAAACAAGCATAAGGATTCAAACTTTCTCAAATAGCTCATACTTCTTACCTCAATCATGTTGTAACATATGAACGTTTAGTATGTGTCGTAGCCGTTCTCTGCTCTCAGACTCTCGTATCTACTTTGGGAATGGCAAAACCTCTTAAAATTAATCAAACCTTTCATACACTCTCATTTCATGCACTCTCTCACTGATATCAAAACAAAAACCTTCTTAAAGCGACAGGGCTTTAGGAGAGAATGAAAAACCATCGGCACAATTAAAAATCTGAATGAAAATGGATGAAACTGATGATCTTCTGATTTGAAGCCAATTGACACCTCCCTCCCTCTATTTGAAGATGCCAAGGCTAAGTTGCTGGATAAACAGTCTCAATCAAATAATTGAAATTGAAAAAAAAAAGATTTTTATTGGCAAAGGTTAATGCTTTAACTGATCAACATCACGTCGTAGTCCTGTCTGATAGAGATTCATCTGAAAATTACAAAATTTCAAAGAAAAATAAATATTAGAGAAGATATATTAGAATCTTACATTAGCGTTCATTTCCATCTCATCGAACTTCACCTTATCATTCAGACTCATTTCGTTTCCTTTCTTTCTTGTAAACTCTTGAAGCTGCAAACAAACACATTGTCCTTTCGAAACTTGATTACATGCAATCTATCTCAGCTCTCAACACCTACATAAGTGATTTTTCCTGACTTATCAAGTAGTAAGTAACTTCTATCAGTTGATAAACGATAAACTTCCCGGAAAAATCTTTGAATCTAAACATCAATCGAGTTTCTATTGATTGCTATGTAAACTACAAACAAACCCTTTCGGATAGCGTTCTGATCTGCGCATTGCGATACACATAGTGATTGACTAGTTTCACGCCTAAATCATCAATGAAATCCTTAGAAGAGTCATTTTTGTTTCGTTTTGATTTGGATTGGTTTACTTTCTGCATCGGCCTGCTTGTACCAAAGCGCATGATCTTCGTCACTTTCTCAACTGAGTTCCGAACATTCCGATAACTATCCGGAAGTATCTCCATCATCTGAAGCATACAATTGAGTATAAGAAGAGAATGAGCCGCCATGTCTATACATAAGCACATTCAAACTTACATCTACAAAATTATTGATCGTTGAGTAATTTCTAAAAGTTGTATGAAGAAAAGGAGACGTTGGATACCAATTTTCATAATCTATAAATGGATGAGAGATGTTGATGTGAACAGCTGGAATGATATATTCTCACCTGGATTACAACTAACTATGGATATAATAAAAAATATAATATAATAGTTCATTTGAGACTGTTCTTTGAAGAAAAACCTGACGACTCACAGTTGGCAAGATGTTGATTTTCTAATCTCAAACGTCAATATTTGAAATACAAATGAAAGTTCTGTCATTGTTCACGTAATTCCAATTAGAAACAAATACAAGTGTAAAAACGTGACAGGTACGTGAATGTTTCATTCTTCACCACATTTTGATAAGTGAGCGGTCGTGCATTGAAATATACAATATAAATTAATTAAAGCAAAAATATTATATTTGAGCTTTAGGAGCTGTACCATTCTCTACATCTCCACGATTATAAACATCCATAAGACGTCTAGAACATACATGCATCATGCCATTGTAACTATGATAACTCACTGAAGCTCTAGAAACCGTGCAACGTTATTATGACGACCTTGCTCTTCCTGCCGTTCAACATCCCTGTAAACATGATCATACACAACGGCTTATGAATACGAGAGAACCTCCGATGTGTGATTATACAATAAGATACCCATATAGCTGAGCAACAAACATATATAATGAAGATGATCCAGAACTTTGTTTGCATTTCTTCCATTAAGTCTTCCACCGTCTCAAATTCATTTTTGATAACAACAGAGTGACAGAAGATGTCTTACCTGCATGTCTTCAACAACGGGCGATGAGGTGCTTGCCTCATTCTCATGCATTCCTTCCTTCTCCTCTTCTTTCTATTCTAAAATGAACAATTCAATAACATTTTCTGTGAATTAATTGATTGAGAAGGGCAATGATGTATAATGGCTGACTAGGCAAGAGGATGGCAGAAGCTCAAGCAACCATCGTGAACATGGAAAACGAAGAATCTCAAAAGATAGAAAACAAACAAAAAAAAGGAAAAAAATAATAAAAAAGTTTCAGAAATAAAGTTAAAGTTGAGGAATTGTGCTGAACTTGTGTCTCTCTCCCTCTTTTTTTCTCTCTCTGTATATTGGTGTCTCTCAACGTCTTCTTGTGTCTCATACATATGCTTCAAGGGCAAAGTGAGCTAAATAAACATTGAGCTCAGCTTACAATCCAAGTGAATGAATTTTTGGCAGAAAAAAGGAGAGAGAGAGAGAGAGAGATGGTTGGAGAGAGAGAAAAAAATTAATTTCAAAGGATTGAAATGAAAAAAAAAATGAAAAAGGATGACCGTGGGGTAGTCGGCGTGGCTGCAATGTTGTTGTTGAAAGAAGAAATGACAAAACTTTTGACAAACTTCTATGAAATATAAAAATGAGAAGAGAAAATCAATAGATAGATGGGTGGAGGAAGGTGTGGGGGGAGTGGTAGATGTTTATAATTGCTGCTGCTGCTGCTGATAATTACAAATGTTTCAAATGGGGTGTGACAGTTAAGTTAAAGAGAATGAAGAAGAACTGATTGTGGAGATGGTCGACGTTCAGACAATTTCTCTGTTCTATCATCATACTCCATCTCTCTCATGCTATTTCATTTCTTTTTCATTTGACGTCTCATCGAATGACACACTGCTTAGCAATATGAATGACGATAGATAACTCAGATGAAAGAACCGGTTTCAAGTGAAACATCAAGAAATGAAGAGAAAATACCTCATTGGAGCAAAACTTTCTTCGCAGATTATCAGCATGAAGTCCATTCATTTCATAAATGATCCGGTTCTCCATGTTCTTCACCATCTCACATGTCCACAACCCATTCTCCATCTCCAATAATCCTTAAATTGCTTCTTCTTACATGTTCCTGAACAGATAGAAACATTTCAAAACATCAACATCAATGATTCACATTGAATTCATATGTTTCCATCTTATGCACTTCCACATATGAATTTCAATTTCCTATACTTACGTGTATGAGATATAAAGATGAATGACATACTCTTCTAAACTCTAACTTACTCTTCAGCAACTCATTTCACAAGCTGCACCGGAAATCACATTAATTGTCTTATGAACAGCCGCTTGTCACTCTGAGTGAAGTGACGTCCGATGTTCATATCAAAACCCATGTCAAACACATACTTTAACTACACATACGTATTTACGTGAAACACGTGAAACACGTGAATTGCGTGGACAACGTGGAAAACGTGAGCGCAGCTCTGCTCAAATCAGTTTCTACTATGCACAAGACGATGAGCGGTTGATATTTTATTTGGGAATCCGATTATTTTGTAAATAAGATTGATCGTCTCCCAATTGATATGAATTATATCTTTCGTGAGCTTTCTCGCTCATACATAACGATGACATGTTGTGATGTCCACTTCTGATTTGACACATCAAGCTGTTTTGACACATAAAATTACAATTATTTTTCTCTTTTCGGTAAGAATATCTGAAAAACAGGATGAGAATACCACATATCATGCAATGAAGCAATCTAGTTCACATACCTCACGAACTGCTTTCGAAGTTCCTCGTCTACAAGAAGATTCTTCATCACTGTATTCCATGAATCAGGTGAGAAGTCTTTTAAACCATAAGCATCCTATTGCAAAACCTTTTCAACATATTGAATCTCTCTGGGTACCTTAGCTGAATACAGTTTGTTCCAAACTGGAGGGTTCTGCTCATCAGCCATATCAACATCTGTCCAATAGTTATCAATATCATCTACTTTCTGAAATCAACACAATAAGTATGGATGAAGAAATGAAGATGTCGTACAAAGTTATTAGAAGGATCGATGGTGTAAACACGATAAGCTGGATTCATGTTGGAGAAGGTAGTTACGGAAGGAGAAGAATAAGCAACTCCGACTGGCTTGGAGCTTGGATCATTCATATTCTCATAGAACATAATGAAATAATCCAGATGAACATGACCAAAGAACTGTCCAACAATGGTTTGAGAGAACCTTTGTACGATGCGGTAGTAGTTACGAGCCCACCCTTCGAGACACTCATCATCTCCTGGAGGAATATGAGCCATGATGTGAACAGCTTCACCGATTTTCTCAGACTAAAATCTTAACTTGACAAAGTATGAAGCATCTTGGTTAAACCTCATATAGTTCTGAGACTAGCCAAGACATAGTTCCATCAGGATCACTCTGGTTGAGGTAGAGGAAACTACAACAAAGGAATGAGGACTGGAGGATGAACTGTACTTACAAGTTAGTTGTTTCACAGTATCCTGTGTTCAAAGAGATCAGTTTCAATCCTTTAGCGGGATATGATGAGTAAGATCCTCTACTGCAATAAATCATTATAGTTTACATGTCAACATTACGAAAACGAACTAATTATTAGTTTTTACGGCTTCTTCATTGAGCCATGGGTTGCTAACGTTAGTAATCGTTTCATAAAGCCATGTGGGCAAGAACTTCTCTTCCGTTACGAAATGAGGTGCGAAGCTGAACATGAAAGGTATGAAAGGTACGAAAGGTACGAAACGATCAGCAATACCTATTAACAGGAACACCCTCATGGTTGCCAATCGCCCAGTAGATTGGTGTTTCAGGAAACACTTGCTTGAGCATAGAAGAGATGTTGTGAATTCCGTTCATATGAAGTTCTTTGGAATATTTCCAATCAACATGATTCAGAAAGTCACCGGACATCATTATGTAATCGATCTTCAAAACGAATAGTTATAGAGAGTATTACTCATAAATAAGATCACATTCTCAGTGGCTTTGATGTGCTCGATCATGTGCTTCAACGTGTGCAATGGGACATCGCAGTCTCCTGATGTTCCCCAGTAACCTGCTGGTTTGGTTGGATTCTCTTAACAATGAATACAAATGAATTAATATAAGTTAAAAGATGATTACTTGTCATTGTTTGACAACAGACAGGAAGAGCACAGTAAGCTTCTGAGCCAGGCAAGTATTCATAATCGATGTGCAAGTCAGATAGTTGAAGAACTCTTAGCTTCTTGCCATTACGACCTTCTGAAACGAGATAATTGAAGAAACACGTTAAACAGATTAGAAGAGTACTTTTCGATTGACGTGACTTCACACGAATTTTCGGTTTGGGAGGTAGTTCCACCTGTGAATGATTACATTCTCTATTATTGCTTATCTATCTATCTCTCACCTCCCATCCCGACTGACTCTTGTCCGAAGGATCTGCACAGTCCGGCAATAAGATTCCACAAACTTCGGACGCTGATGAAGAAGACAATCGACGGAACACATAAAAGAATTCTTCCTTAAAAGGTTTAAAACTATAAAAACAGATAATGACAAGATAGAAAACTTTGAATTGATTGGAAATTCCATCGCAGACAACCCAACTCTGTTTGGCAAATATCTTACAGACAACTTTGGCAAACTCTAAGATGACTGGAACAGAAGCATCAGCCTTGACAATGAAGCTGAAAGAGTTATAATTATGGAGAAAGAGGATTTGCTGAATGATAAACCTCATAAAGGATAAGGCAGCTACACAAGAAGAACATTTGACGTTGAATCCAAGCTGTTCGTCCTCATATACAACTTAAATGAAGAAGAATGATAAGGAGATGTAGAAGGAAGGCAAACCTTTGCGAGATCCTTTCTTTTCAATCAAATAAGGATGTGATATAACATATTGGAATATAAGAAATAATACAACTATAAGACTTTTGTTCATCGAAGATAATATGAAAAATGAAAAAAGATAAATGGGATAGGAGGGGGGGGGGAGATTGAGAAGAGAAGGATGGAAGGCAAGACAATCGGATGATCGACCAAGTGTTGAACTTTCGCGTTCAAACAACCAGAGAAGGCCAATTACTTTTTTTCTTTTTCTTCTTGTCAGCTGTTTGAATTTATAGAAAAACACAATTTGTTCCGTTCAATGGAAAATTGATTGAATGACTTGTAATTGATTTCCGTCTTCGCGTAAAACTATAATCCAATCGATAACTTGTTGGTGTCTCACTGAGTTCAAAACGTTTCAGATGCTTGATGAGTGGGTGTAGTAAGAAGAGTATAGACCAGAGACATATTTGGAACACCTGTTCAACCATTCACAATTCATTTTTTCCATAACTGTTCAGCAGACTTTTTATCTACACACTCACACATGAAATGTCCTTTTATGAACATATTCCACATTGCCCCTCGTATGGAGATATCCTTCATCTGAATGTCTAATCGTCTGTTCCTTCTATTAGTTTCAATAATCGTACTTCTTCTCATATTCCTCCTGTTCTCTTCTCTCAAGCTTAAATGTGAGTTTGCTCGTAATTATACTGAAACTGTCATCTTCATAAGACGTCAACGAGAGTTCCTCACCGACTTCATTCAAAGGTGAAATATTTAAAAGACAAGTGAGTTGATGAGTTTCTTCTTTCCTCATCATTTCCCCTTCCACACAGGCGCCCATACGTAGAAGAGCTTTTCGTAATATTCTCGAGAGTAATGAGACTGATCATCTTACATTCTATAATGCCCTAGTACCAGAAGTATTGATCGATTTCTCCAACCAATACACTGAATCATTCCTTGTTTAGTTATTTTGCTCGAACAAAGTTCGCTTGGGAACAGTAGGTGATGGCGGAAAATGGATCTGTAGCCCTCATAGGTTAATCATTCCGCGTTTCATACGATGATTAGATCATTGAAGGCTTCCAACCAACTGTGTCGTACTATCACTCGGAATTAACAACATGATCTCATTTGATGAAGAAATACAAGAAGTTTCAGAGAAACGTTGTCGATTATTAGCATTTGATAGCGTAATACTCAAAATCGTTTTCTTCAACCAGCTTGATTACAGTTTGCTCAATCAAAGTCTACGATGGATAGACTGAAAACGCTCAATGGCAACTTCGTGAAAGCTATGATTGGGAATGGGAGAGGGGGGACTGAAACTTTGTCCGATTTGCTGAAGAGACAACAGATTGATAAAGTGGAAATACTAAAAATGGATATAGAGGGATACGAGTTTGATACTATCATTCCTTTTGTTGAGGAGTTCCGCGTGGCACAGGTAATTAGCATAATCACGTGAGCGCACACTCGTGATCATTTCGGAAAACAGATGCGCGGCATGCGGTTGCTCTCTTCTCCCACTCACTCATACAAGCTAAATGGATTTTTTCAGATATTGGTGGAAGTACATCAACAGAACGGGGCTTTCGGAAAAGTAAGAATACTAAAGGAACTGTCAAAATTGGGATACTGGTTCTGCAATCAAGAGATAAATGGTCGTTATCATGAACTGGTCGAACTCCTACTTGTACACGAATCACAGTTCCAGCGTTATGAAGCATACCCGTTAGCGCGTTATCTCGACTTTTAAACAAATTTTCTAACATATTAATTTAAAAAAAGCTAAATACTAACTGTTTCGAAAATGCAAAAATGTTCGCAGTCAGCAGGATTCGAACCTACGCGGGCAGAGCCCAATTGATTTCTAGTCAATCTCCTTAACCACTCGGACATG